AACATCGCGGAATGGCGTCCCATCAACAAACGGCAAAGGAAATGCAGCAGAGAAGAGAGACCAACCACAGCGCGAACGGGAAGACGAGATGGTTCGGACTGGGCGATCTGGTGATGCAAGCCGATGGGTGTACGATGGAGCAGAAGGGCGAGAAGCTGCAGCCGAAGTGGAAAGGACCGCTGGAAGTGCGCAAGGTCTTCGAGGGGCAGAGGTATCTACTGGGCACATTGGAAGGGCAGGTGCAAGCCAAGCATGTGCAAGGGCGTCACCTGAAGGCGTTTGAATCGAGGAGGAGGGTCGCGGAGGAGAATGCAGTTCCTCCGAGTAGCGACCAGAGGTGCTGCCATGGCTGCGACGAGGGCGAGGACGAGGAGGGTGGGGAACGGGAACGGGAACGGGCTGGGGATGGGGATGGGATCCTCCGCCGCCGCCGTCTCCTTGAGCAGGAGAGGAGAAGAAAGGGAAAGCGACAGGTGGGGAACTGTCACGCTCCCACGTTCCCCAAGCTCTCCTGGTCAAACCGCCTTGACCCTAACCACGTCTCTTAGAGGTCCCCTCAGAGAAACACTAAATTATATTGTTATATGTTTGTTGTAATTAATTTTTTGTGCGCTTCGCTTTAAAAGAGAAAATAAATTTGATGTCAGAGTTGGTAGTGTCATATCAAAGTTTTTTTTTTTTTTTTTTCTGTGAAGAAAAACATGTGATAGCATAGCTTGTGACAACAATAGATTCAAATATCTAAATAATTATCATAATCTTGGTGGTTTTTTGAAAATGCTGGTAAAGAGTCTTAGATTATTAAGGTAGCAGTCATTTGTAAAAGAACTATCTGATAACTCTTCAAATTATGCCAACTCTTGAAATGTGAGTTTACAGTAAGTGAGAGTGTGTGTGTGTGTGTGTATATATATATATATATATATACGGATTATTAATATAATGAATATTGTATTGATTACAAGCTACAACATTACTTATAAATTCTTACATGTACACATGCAGTATTTATATTCAATCAAAAATATAAAATAACATAAAATTCAATAAATAAACGTATATATTATTTTACATCAAATATAAATATGTCAAATTTTATGTCCTATTTTTAAAATATAAAATTTTTATTTAGAAAAATTTAATTATATAATTATATAAAAGTGAAAAAAATTTAAATGTAGCAATATATTCTATTTTCATATATAAATAGTTACTTAAATTTTTATCCTTTAAATTATCATGTAAATTTTCAACATTTATTTTTAAATAACCCAATGTTTTAAAAAAAATATTAAATAAACGTTAAAAATATTCACAACATCTATAAATTTTTCTGAATGTTAGATATTTTTCATCTATGACTTAATACAACAACTTAAAAATTCTAAAATTCATTTATTTTTATTATACTCAATAAATGTGTATGTATATATTACAAACACATAACAATCATCATTCATAATCATATTCCTTTTTTTTTAAGTCTATTGATTAATTCTCAAAAATACCTCTCTCTAATGTATATAGATAAAACTCAATAATATATGCATAAAAATCATTATTAAAAGGTTTTTTTAGTTGTTTCATTAAAATGCTTGTCCTATTCAATTGCTTTGTTGATAAAAATTTCTTTGTTTGTACGTCCAAAGAATCTACAAGGAAATAGAATTAATATTGATGTATCTTGATTCATGAATTCCTAGAAAGAGTGACTTACTAGATTCTCTAATATCACCTTGAGCATTTTTAACTAGAAAGAATTTGAATATAGGAACAAAGGATATGTATTTGCAAAAACAAATCAAATGAGATGGAGATAAATAGAGCATTAAAAACAAAGAAAATACTAACAGGTCTTATTACAAATGTGATAAAATTGTAATAGACTAAGAACAATTTGAACAATCTATTCTATAATTTAGACCTTTCTACAAGTAGAATTTGTTTTACTTGCACAACAAGCAAGAATGTTAAAGAAGATAAAATAATTCTTATCTCATGATTTGGAAGATTATTTTTTTTTTTTTAAAAAAATACATTATACTTCCAAATGAGTTAAGTGTAATTTTTTTTATGTATTAATGATAATGGTAATTGTTTATGTTTATCCATCCAAGGGCATTACATATCTCTTCATGCATCAGTTCTTCCATAAGTTCATCTACACTTATTAACCAATTCTTCCTATATTGAAAATGTTTAAATAAACATAAAAGATAGAGAATAGACTCTACAACCAAGATTAATATGAACGAGCCACAACTCATGAACCTTGTTTGTTGTCCACTTTAGATGCAACACATGAAATTCTTTTCTTTCTACTTTTGTTCTTGAAGAGAATATATTGATAACAATTGATTTCTACCTCCTTTGTAATTATATAAAACCCCATAGCTCAAACATGTTATTCTTAAAACAAAGCAATTGAATCTAATACTTATATATATACAAATGAATACTAAAACTAACATTTCACCCCTCAATAATTTACTATTAACATGTTCCTTCCAAACAAGAATAAAAACCTCAATGCAAATACATACAAACACATAAAATATATATATATATATATATATATATACCTTCCAAAAATAAATAAATAAATAAACAAACTTTTTAATGAACCTTTCAAAAGTGGAAAAATAAAGAACAAACAAAAACAACCAACCAAACCTGCAAAGTCACTAAGTGAACTCATTAATACAATAATTCACTCACAAAAATTCATCTACACTAAAAAAGATTTGCAAAAAATAAAAAATAAAATCTTCAAAATAATCACAGAATAGTAGCGTTGTCCTAACTGAAGATTGATTTGTATTCCAGTTTAATACGTGACAAGGCCAGTTTCGCAAGCTCCATAACTTGCATGCAGTGCAGTTCAATATTCAGCCAAAGATACCCGCAACAACTGCCACTGATATTCAATCTCATTACTTGCACAAGATGAAAAGAGTTAAGACGGCATTTCTGATACTGCGCCAAACACATTGACAACCTACATTCAACCCTTAAGCAAAGCTACTATTTAAAACTCAAATCATAAAGAGACCTTCAAAAGGCTCCCAGTCACAAGCGGATGTGCAGTAGACTGACAACCTAAGTATAACAAAAAGATGACACCAGATTGAAAGGCACTCAAGCCTTGTGGTAGTTCTGCCTTGAGATTGGGTTCATCACCACCGGTCCTGCTGCCTCACGTGGCCATGCATCCAACTTCTTCCCTGTTTCCTTCTCCCACTCGCTGTTTTGGGCTGTGATCGGCACCGTACCTGCACCATCCAATCCATAAACATTACTCATGTCACCACACACCCCACCTTCACCGTCCCACGCCATTGCGCCTCCACATCCACATCCTCACCCTCACCACCACACTGTGTCTGCTCCACACCCACAACCCGCTACATTCACCTGTCCAAACTTCCCTGCGCCACCACGCTTGTTTCTTCTCATGCCCACACTTCCCCAAAACACCCCCACCTCCTCACCACCGTCGCATGCAAACTATTCACATCCCAAATCCACCAAAACCACACACATCCCACTGCGTCGCCCACCACCACACTGCCACCCGCATTCTAAACACCACAGTTGGACCTCAATTCCGCCCCTCCCACGACTTCACTCATTCCTCCTCCCACAATTGTGCCAAGCTTCTGCCGTCAACGTCGTCACCGTGTCTCGACATCTTTCCTGCCCTGCTACCAACTACGAACGTGCACAAATTTCCACTACTTCACAACTTCTCACCCCCAACTGCCACCGTCCATCGAGTCAACACATCACACAACTCACCCCGTCTCGCTCCACGCACTTCCGTTCCCAAATCTCAACCCCACACTCCCACGCACAATTCACTCGCCACGTCACGTAACCTGTCACCGTAGCGCCACACCAGAACACTTCATCCACCACCAGGTCGTCCCATCTCTCCTTCCCACCACAGTCGTCGCATCCAATCGCCTCACACAACCCCTAAATCCCGATCTCATTCCGCCAACCCCCACTATGCCCAACCGATCGTCACACCTGCACTGCGACCAAAACCTAACTAACCCTCCTCCCTCCGACCCTCACACCCGACAATCGCCCTGCACAAACCCTCCCCTGCAACAAAACCAACCCCCAAACCCACACAACACCGACTTCCAACACCACAGACACGGAGAATGGGCAAGGAAACCCTAACCTCCAAACAGCTTGCGATTCCTGCTCAAGTCCCAGAACGCGTAGGACACAACACAGGTGCCCGCGAGGGCAGGCATGATGACCTTGGAAAACGACACCAACCCCATTTGCAGTGACGATATGGCCTCGCGTTTCGAATGCTGCTTGAATGGTTGTGGAGAACAAGGAGGGAAGGAAGGGACCCCGACGGAGAGCAACGAGAAGCAGCGAGTGAGAGCGAATGCCGAAATGCTGACTTGCGCTGCCCAGTCACTCCGAAGAAGTGCACAAAGGCTGTCCCTCCCTCCCTCTCTTCCTGCCTGGCCCTTTCGCGGTGGCTGGCCTTGTCTTCACCAAGGGGTCGCCGAAATCTGAGATCCGGCGACGGGCCGTGGGCGTCGTTGGTGTGTGCGAGTCCAAGTGGAGTGTTTTAGTGTGGGCAAGCCTCGTGGGGGCAGATTTGACAATTCCTTTCCTGAATTACTTTGATGCCCCTTTAGTTTCTGTGCTTCCAGTTGGTTGTGGACTCTTCATCTTCGTTCCTGGTCTTTGCGCCACTCGCAAGGTTGTTGGGCGCCCTCCCCCCGTTGCCCTCGTTGCTTCATTTACTTGTTTTAGTTAATGTCCCATTTGCAGTGCTTCATCTATTTGCTTCTTTGCTTCCTTTGATGCAACTTTCTATTTGCTCATTTTTTGTCATGTAGAATTATTGCATTTTACTATTATGTAGTTATATGGTTACTACAGTAGTTTCCATTTTTAAAAACATTAAGTCAAATGGGTTGATTTTTTATTAAAAAAACCAAGTTAATATGATCATTGAAATAAATTTTTAATCTTTTGTAATTTTTGTAACATAGATTACTTGATGTATACATTAATATGGTTCTATTATTATAAATACTTCAACAAATTTATAAAACAATTACTATATATGTAGAAGTAGAGGGATGCATTAAATAGATCCATTCTTTCACTAAATCAATCTATTCTATGTTAACCATCATGAGGGAAATGGATCATCTCTAGAAACCATCATTATAATCAAGTTGTAGTTTCAATTGTAAGTATTGTTGACTTATAGTTTTGAGCTACTACATTGCATGTGACTTAAAATTTTCATTGATATTTTGTTGTGATTTGATTTTGGTTGGATATGGTGACTAAGGATGGAGGTGCCATTTAAAAAGTATTTTTTCAAACTTCTAAGCAAGTATAATTGCCAATTGTTTTCATTGGCAATTAACACATTGGTGACAAGGATGTTGTCAAAGCATTACATAATAAGAGTAAACTTGTTATTAAGCTAAAAAAAAGTAATAGTGCTTAAGACCAAAGACAAAGAGAAATCACAACCCAAAGACAAGGTGAAGAAGACCAAAGCAAAATCTGCCCAAGAACAAGAATGATAGTTATGATAGGATGGATTGATTCAACAAATGGATGGATTTTTTTTAATATTCTTATATATATATATATATATATATGTATATATAAACATTGCATTCTAAAAAAATAGACTTATAAATGAATATATTGCAAATTACTTATGTTATCACAAATATTTATAGTATTCATATATTTAGATTTTAAAAAAATGTTATTAATATATAAACATACTTTTATTGATTAACTTTTAAAGAAGTATTTTTTTTATAGAACACATTTATAAAATATATTCTTATTGTTTAAATTAATATTTCTAATTTTTTTGGTTAAAAAAAAATACATTTACAAAAATTCATATGTTTTTTCTTTTAATTTTATATTTTTAGAAATTATAGTAATTTCAATATAAATAGAAAAATATCAAGATTCAATTATATAACTTTTGAATAAAATTTAACATGATAGTTGTTATATTTGATGGTAAAATCTAGTATTTTATATAGTAATTAAATAATATAATATATTTAATATATTAAAAATATTATTAGATAATAATTAAATTTTTATTAATAAATATATATATTTTTAGTTTTTAATTTTAATTTTTAATTTATAAAATTATAAAATTTACACAAACATAAAATAAATTTTAGTATTGTAAGATCTATATAATATTGAATGTTGTAAAAACTCTAATATATGTTCAATGAAGATAAAATAATTTTGTAAAAATGCAACTAAATTTTTATGAAATAAAATAAAAAGAATGTGAAAGACGGAATATTTTTATGTATTTAGCTTAAAATGTTATAATTTGATAGTTTTGTTAGAGCATAATTACAAGGGTGCAAAGTCTTAAAAAAATCCTAAGTTTGATCCATCTCCATCAAGCTTTTATAAAAGATAAACTTTTCAGTCTTTAATGGATATGACTATTTTTTTTTAAAAAAAAATTGTACAATAAAAAATAAAATTTTAGTAATATAATTTTTAGTATATTTATGCATTTTCATGATTAATCCATTTCTACACTCAAGTAATAATAAGTAGTTGTAATATTCATAAAAAGATCTTTAGAAGCTTAATAAAGACAATGAGGTTTGCAAGTTAAAAGTCTAAATTACAAAATGTCAATCAAATAGATTTGTAAATGCAATAGAATTCTAGAAGACATTTTGATGGCCATGTGAATATCAAAAAAACATATATAGATATAACTTGCATTTAAGAAACTTTCTATGATGTATTTTGAAGAAAATATTTTTTATCCAAAAAAACTATATTTTAGATGTTTATATTTCTATTTACTTAAAAGATATAGGTGTTTATTACACATTACCATACAACCAAATTTATATAAATAAGTATTGATACAACAAAATAATAATAATAATAATAATAATAAACATATCACATTTTCAACTAGAATTGGCTTTATAATATATTGGTCATAAAAGAATATATAATATCTAAATCCTAAACATTGATTTTGTAAGTTTTGTAATTTTATTGATTATCAAGAAGATAAATTCTAACAACAATAAGACATTAATACGAATATCATAACTATTATAATAATTAATTAATAATAATAATAATAATAACTCAATACTCTAATATTACTTTTCTTAAGAATCAATGACCTCCAATCCCACCCCTTCCAAAATCCCATGCTTCTATAAACACCAAAACCATCTATTGTTGTTTTTAAAGTCATTCAAACCTTTGTGGAGCCATAATATTCTCAACATCACCTTACAAGACACAACACAAACAGACATTCATAAACTATCTATTTATTCCACTTGGATAATTGATGAAACATTTATGTTTTTTTCTAAAAACTCCAAACTATTTTTGTATTTTCATTTCAATTTCTTAGTTAGAAGAAATCATTTACTTTAATTGTTTCTTATCACCATGTTTGTTCACATTCCATTGTCTCTCACTAACAACTCTACCCATCAAAATCACAGAGTGTGGTAAGGTTTATAGAACATGTAAGACCATGCAGCTTGAGAATAAACAAGTAGACTTCTCCACGGCGACATTTCTCAATAGAAAAATGGTCGCATCGAAGCAGGAACTGGGACTTCCGGAACCATGTTTGCAATATGTTGTCGACATGAAACCCTCTCGACTTCGGCAACAATTGCATCGCAGACACGATTGTGATTGGAGCAGCTGAATGGATCTTACACTAGATGTTGCACTAGTGAAGGAATTTTCAAGCAGATTCTGTGATTATGGCAGCACAGGAGTTGAATCCATGCCTTTTGAAGGCTTTATCGAAGAGATGCGTCCTCATTTTCTACCTCCTGCATCGGTGTGCGCGCGAATCACGTCACACTAGACATTCTACTGTGTTCAATAAGCCTTGCTAGATTAGAAAAGTTGCATTTTGTCGATCCGAATTGCTACAGTCTTTCGGTGGCTTGTTGCCACTTCGAAGCAATCTCTGTGAGATTTGATTGCTTACGGTTCATGGATTTTCGAACACCTGGGGTCCGTGTGTGTGCACTGGAAGGGAGCTTGTGCTTGTCGCTCAATACTCCGCAGCCGCAAGTCCGTGTGCGGGAATAGAAACCCATTTGATTCACTCCGAATGCCGACAAGCCTGGTACCGACCAACGGCAGGTCGCCTGTGCACCACCGAGTGAGTGGCACACAAGGTAAAGTCTGGCTAGAGATTAACTAGATAAGGTGCCGGCGACCAGCAGTCGATGGGGTTCGGAACGCGGCAGCATTGTCCTCCCATTGGGCATTGTTAGATATTTCTCTTCCAGGTTAATAGGTGGCGCACTGTGGAAATCAACTTTCTCAAGTTTGTAGGTTTTCATTTTTGGGGGGGGAGATTGATAACTATCAATTTCATTGCCTGTTTGGCAGTCCTGTTTGCGCTAACGAAGTTGAATATAGTGGCGCCATTATAAGCTTGCTCAAAGACGCCGAATTTGAAGACTTTTGTGTATTCTGAAGAAGTATGGCTTCTCTTGGTGGCCAGCTTTGCTCTGGAATCCATTCATTGTCCTGCCAGGGTCGAGCGAACACAAAACTTCACCCCATCGTCGTGAAATCTCGCAAGTGTGAAGTTGCGAGAGCTAGTTATGATGCTCAGGTACAAACCTCACGGCGAGAGGCGATTACTAGACTAGCTATTGCGTCAGGAGCTGCACTTCTGAGCTTGGTAGCGGCGACAGATGCTGCGCATGCTGCAGCGGGGGAGATAGAAACTGCTGAAGAAGCCGCTAGCAATCCTCTTATTCAGAGTATGAACTGTTCTCTCTTCTGTGTACTTGTCAATCCTGATTTGCTAGTAATCGTCGTCCATTGCTTGCCCCGACGGTGCATCTACACAGACCGGGTCAGAACTGTGTTCTGCTCTTGTATGAATTGTGGGAACTCCAATTGAATCATGTCACAGAAACTTGAAAAGGTGATCGTTTAAGAGAGGGTCGAGAAGTATTAACTAATTGGATCTGAAATGGAACCAACTGTGATCGCTATCTTCCAATTGTTATCTTGAAATAAGGATTACAATTGCATTTTAACATCAACTTTGTGCTCTCTGTGACAGAACTTCTGGAGACATCTCGAGCAAACAAGGCTGTCAATGACGCAGCGGTAATTTGGCTCTCTCTCTCACTCTCTCTCTCTCTCCCCCTCACCTTGTCTTAGCGATTATGAAGCTTATTGTGTTGTCAATTGGGTTACGAATGCTCTGAAGTTTGAGGTATTGGGTTGTGGAGGAAACGGAAGCTGAAGACGATTTTTATGATATCTCGCAGAGGCTGGAAGACTACTACCGGCGCAACTTCACAGAATACTTTCAGTTTGTGGAGGTAAAATCAAGTTCAAGCCTTCCATGCTTTGTGTGCACCTCCGCATATTTCTAACACACAAGCCCTAAACTCGACTATTTTATAAGCAATGAGGCTGCCTGTAAGAGCCTGTTTCTAGGATGTTCTCTCAATCGTTGTAGCAGAGCCATCCACCTAGGCACTGTTCTTCGCACTACCCACCATTGAAGTAGCAGATTTTTTAGATGATTGTCTTTTTCGCAGTTGCAAAATGTGAGTACAAGGCTGGGGATTATGTGTACATTGAACTGCATTGTTCAGACAATTGATTTCTCTCTCTGAATTTGCAGGGTTCCGTGAGGAACAAGAAAGAGCTGACTCCGGCTGAAAAAGCTATTGTGGAGTGGCTTGCGAAGAACAAATGAACATTTTCGCAAATTCCCATACCCGTGTAGAAAGATGTTTTCTTTTCCCATTCATCATGATTAATCTGCTCTCATAGTGTAATTCTGCAATTTGCAATCGACACCAGTATTTGCTCTCTTGAACTCATTACTTTGTCTTTGTTATAACGCCGACTTGATGAATATGTATTCTACTGCGTACACAATGCGCAGTTTGAATTTGGTGTGTTCACCGATGGAGAAGCTTGTACATTCATGTGAGCTTATCTAATTTGCGCGATCCTGTGTGGCGTAACTTGTGAAAACAAACTGACATCTACACATGGAGATTTCCCACTCTGAGCAAATCAGGTGGAACTGCGTTGTGTAACCCTAACAACCACAGCTGCAGCTTCTAAGACACAGCAAAGAGAGGAAGAGTCTCTCCAACTTGGCTATGGTGTGTGGGGGATGTTGATGCTAGACACACACGAGGATAGTGAATGCCATTGTTGAAGATGGAATTCCTTTGTAGTAACCCACTTCTGTTCATATCTCTAACCCGAAACTGGACTTTTGTTGCTGCAGCTGTGCATACTTCCGCTCTAACAGGATTTGTTCAGGCCTGCATAGCTTGCTGATCGATGGTGGTGGTCAACTTTTGGGGCTCAGATTTGCATGCAGAGCGGCAATGAATCGCAAAAAAACAGACTTGGATGCAAATCTAGGTGGGTAATTACTACTGTTTACCAAGCTCATTTTGATTCTACAGGATCCCCTCCTTAAATGGGCCTATTAAAAATTGGTGAAGTTTGTGACCTGCTTTTGCAGGAGTGAAGTCTGATCTTTGCCTCATTTAGAGTGTTGCGAGAAACTCTGGATAGATTGAATTTCTCCTTCTCCTTGCAAGGATTGTATTAACTGCCTAGATTTTTGGCTTATTTTCCTTGTTGTCAGATTTTTTTTTTTTTTTGTTTTTGTTTTGTTTTTGTTTTTTGATTTTTGATTTGCCTGGACATGAGATGACTTCCTCAAAATGCACTTCAATGCATTTGTAAATAGAAAAAGGTGTTTTTTTTACAATATATTTGTTTTTGTTGTGTTGCTGTCATGTGAAAAATGACATGGTCATTATCACATCTTTCAAAACCATCTTCAATTCGTTTTATGACCTCGCATCAACACATCGTAGAAGATATGGTAGAATTTTAAAATGTTCTATCTTTTTTCAAAATCATTTTTAATTCAAAGTGCATGACGCAATCTTTGAAGTAATGGCTCAATCGTCTCTTCAAATCTTTGGTTTGGATGAGAAATTTTATCTTTCCATATTTGTGTTAATTGTTTTTGGTGGTCAATGATTATTTTTGTTAATGTTTATGTTTATGCAACAAATTACTTGCTACTAGTTCTCTGTTAGATTATATTTAGACTAAAAGAACTAATTTTGTCATAAATTTTTGAAACATTTGTATAATACCTTTATTTGAAGGCTAAAAAATTAAGTTCTATAGTTGTTCGTTTTTTTTTAATGAATTAATTGTTACATAAATCCTTAGAACCACAAATGTTCCTTGATTTTACTATCTTCTTGTCTCACATTCTTTAATAAATATAATATTAAAGGCCTTTTGTATCAAACAAATCGTATTGGTATGCCCCAATACATACTAAGAAGTCTGTGTTTTCTTTGGAAGTTCACACGTACTTTGCTTTAAAACAACTTTGTCAAACTATGGTCCATTTAGTTAAAATATGCAAAAATACAATTTATTATTACATCCTTTATTGAATCATATTTTACTATTGTGTGTGTTGTATCAATAATAAATTGGAAAGATGCAAACAAAATAAACTCTATTGTAAGACAACATGATTACCTTGTTATATTGAATGTAACAATGAATTCAATATATATTTTAAAATCTTAACATATCCCATAACAAGATGATATTTATTTGTACTTACATGTATACTTTTAATTCTAGAACAACAACTTCATGCTTTTGAAATGATGTACGATGCAATCAATCAATCAATCAATCAACTTACAATGCAATCATTTTTGCAAAACTTTAATATATGAAGGAAAGCCACACAAACTAAATCTCTATTGGTTTACAGTTAACAGAAGAAAACAAAATACGACTCAAAACCCAAAAAAATTAGGGGTTTTAATTACTTGTAAATGAAAAAATTGAAAAAATAAAAATAAAAATAAAACACATGTTGCTGTATCAACATTGTGTCTTCTTATATTTATTTATTTAAAATCATAATAAAATGAAATAATTAAACGACATTATAATAATTAAATGGGTACATGCTGCTGCTCAGAGGACAAAACATGTGCTCCAACTTGCACCTCTTCTTAAAAAAAACTAAAATAGATAAAATTAAATCATTGACCACCAAGAACAATTAACACAAATATTTAATTAATCATTAATCATGCAAAAGTTTTATTAGACTTTGTGATACTTTAAATATAAATAAATCAATAATATAATTATTTGTTATACTATTGATTTTTGTACAATAATATGCAATATTATAGTCCAAAAACATTGACTTTCCAAATGACTTTCTGATTTATTTATTTACTTATTTTATTATTTATTTTTTTGCATCCTCCCTCTAAAAAACAGACCATATCTGCTTCTTTTTGTTGTAGAAATTGCAAGTTTCATATCATATTGGGTGTGCCACGTGAGGGAGAACTTCTCCAAAATAAATTTTGACACTTGGCAGTTTTTTAGTGGGTGGGACCCATCACATATATTGCTGACCTGGAACAAAGCACACCCATTCATAATAGATAAGTGTTGTGATAAAGAAGGGGTTCATATTACATGAAACACTTATCTATTATGTGACAAATGAACAATATTATTGCCTACACAATGAACTGTTCATTTGGGTTCGCTTTTTTCTACTTTATTTTAGGCTTAGCTAAGTGTGACTGTAGGAATGAGTTTTTTTGTTACATTCATTGTTGGCGTCTTTAAAAGTTCTAAGAAAAAAAGTTGTTAATGAAAAAAATATTACTACAATTAACAATTAAAATATATAAGAATAGTTTATTTTCAGAAAAAAAAAAAACGATTGTTTAGATTTTTTTTGATTCCATGTTTCTGCAACAAACCTATGTCTTTATACTTCACAGTTTTTAAGATGCAAGTGAAATGTATTATTCATTTAATGTATGAGATAAAATTATCATGTGGGTTTTGTGTGTTTCTTTTTTGTGATTATTATAGCCACAATCAAGTGTGCAGGATAAAACTTGTTTTAAAATTGTGTAAGTGTGTCAATAGCATTTGAATTAAAATAAGTAACACGTTCTTACTAACAATATTATTGCCTACACAATAACATTTATCAATGATATTATAAAATTATAAAATTTGCAAAAAAAACTAATAACACAAAATGTGGAGATGGTATTTTGGAAGTATAAATTTGATGTTAGTTTAAAAGCTAAGAGATATATTTGATTGTTTGATATGTTTTGTTGCAATAGTAAAATGCATGATTTCAACACAACCACTATTACAATATTTAAACATGTACCTATTTAGAATGTGATAAACTTTACTTCATTCTTGCATATATATATTTCATCAATAAACATCAGTATTGGTTTTGCTCTACTCGCTATCCATAAACAAAACCAAGTTTAACATAAATAATGTGAGGTTAAATGTCAAAGTGGTACAGCTAGTCCTAGTGCCAATGGATTACAATAGAAATGGATTGCAATAGCATCAAACAACTATTAGGATTGGTTCTTCTCACAAGTGCGAGCAAATGTTTATAATATTGTTAAATTTTGGCCCTTTTCTATATTACTTAATCACTTCTCTCCATCCACTTGCCTTGGTCTTCTCTCATTTTTGGCCTCCACTTAGTCATATGTTTCAATCTTAGTGGGAGGACATTGGCAAGGATTGCCATAGAAACAATTCTTAAAATTGCTCAAAATGTATTCATGTATGAAGAAGTTCCATTAAAAGATGTCAAGATAATTTTGTAACATTTCTAAAATATTACATTACAAATTTTTAAAAGTAGTTATGATTCAACCAATGAAAGTAATATATTGTTGAAATAATGATGTTCTTAAAAAATGTGGCCTATATTTGTACTTATTGTAACTTTATTAAAAGAAAAAAACCGGAAAGATTTTCCCAAGAAAAAAAGTTCACCCATTATGCTCATGTAATGAATTGGTCCACACAAACCTAAAAAATAGAAGCCCACTAATCCAACAATTGACACTAGTCTTGAATAAAATTCAAAAAAGGAGTGAAAAACTAATAAAATAAATATACAAACAAAGAAACAAAGACTGCAGTAATTATTGACTGGGTATGTGTGTAGAAGTCATGAGCATTGGTAGATGAATGTTGACCATGTACTGAAGGGGGCCACCTCTCCACTCACAAACCATGTGTCTGTACACCTATTCCATTTTCTGCTCATGTGTTTGTGACCAATAAATAATATATATGTATGTATGTATATATATATATATATGTGTGTGTGTGTGTGTTATGGCCATTTGCTTTAGTTTAAAAATAGTATATTGAAGAAAATCATCGATGTACAATAAAATGTTTCATGATATGAAAGAAGATGATAATAAATTCAAGAAGTTAAAAATAAAAGACTTAGGAAAAGAAAGTACAAAATAATCTTAGGTTTGAAGGTTTTGCATGTATTATAACACTCAAATCTCTCTAGAAAAGAAATCAAATAAATCTAAAGATTTTTATTTATTTATTTATTTATTTATTCTAATAAATTTTATTAAATTTGAAAATAGGAGTCATGCACGATCTTATGGGATATACAACCAAATTAGACAATTAAGTACTAAAATTCAATGTGGAAGGATAGAAGATAGCAAAGGAAAAATGGCACATCTTAGAACAATACCACCACTTTGATTGGCTTAAAACTTAGACCAAACATGAAGCATAAAAGAAGCCCTACTCATGTAGCTAATCTAGCACAAATGCATGGTAGTAAATGCATAGTTGACCCAAGGTATCTCTAATATTTTTCTTCTATTCCAAGTTTAGAATCAACAATCTCTAAAAACAATAAATAAATATATATATATATATATATATAATCATAATCAAGTTTAGAATTATGCAATTAGAATACTTTTCTTTTACCTAAAATAGTTTTAATAAACCAAGCCACCTATGTAATACTTCCTCGTCCAATTTAAACATTTATATAACTTC